TCTGAAACATTGGTGCTGTGAGGGACCGAGACAGGAGGGCCATTGGAGCTTGCTGGCTACTAACATAGCTCCAGGTTCAGCGAGGGACCCTGCCTCAAAAGAATAAGGTGGACAGTGATAGAAGACGCCCAGCATCCTCCCTTGCCCTCCAGGTATGCATGCATTGGCACCTGCAGACATATGTGCACACACCACACACATACACCACAGGAAAAAAAAACACTTTTTTTTTTTTTTTTTGGTTTTTCTTTTTTTGGTTTTTCGAGACAGGGTTTCTCTGTGTAGTTTTGGAGCCTGTCCTGGAACTCACTCTGTAGACCAAGCTGGCCTCGAACTCACAGAGATCCACCTGGCAAAAAACCCCCCAAAAAAAAAAACCTTTTTAAAATGAAAGGGGACAATAAAAAAGAAATTAAGAAGAAGAAGGAAAAAACAAAGTTGAACCTCTTCTTCACATGTCTCTATCAATAGTCCCATTATGATGTTAAAACAGTGACTGTGCCTCGGAAGAGGATTTGCCCTGGAGGAGGTGGGAATGGGAGGGTGGGCTGGGGGTAAGGGGAGGGGGTGGGAGGGGGGAGAATAGGGGAACCCGTGGCTGATATGTAGAACTGAATGGTATTGTAAAATAAAAGAAAAGAAAAGAAAAAAGAAAAACAACAGTGACTGTGTAATGAGGTCCAACAGGAAGACAGCCAAAATAATGTTTGCCATCATTAAGGCAGCAATTGGAAGTGGACCATTGTTTAAAAATGAGACTCACCTCAAATATATACTATGGCATGAGGTACTAATGGTAGCAGGCTGTGTGTACAATATAGAGAAAACTGAGCCAGGTGTGACGCACGCCTTGGGAGGTGGAGGCAAGAGGAGCAGGAGGTCTGGGCCAGCCTCCACTGAAGAGCAAGTGTAAGGCCAGCCTGGGCTACATGACGCCAGCCTGGGGGAAGCGCACTGGCTTTGAACGCAGGAGGACCTTAGTTTGGATGCCAGCAACTCTGTAAAAAGCTGAGTGTGGCTGAGTCCCTGGATCTGTAACCCCAGGGCTGGGGTCGGGGTATGGAGACAGGAGGATCGCTGGGACTCGCTACCAACCTAGCTCTCCAGGTTCAGTAAGAGAACCCTGTCTCAAGGACAATGGAGAGTGATAAAGCAGGACTCCCGGTGACTTCCTTTCGCCTCTGCTAAGAAGCACACAGACATACAACTTTTGAACACACACACACACACACACACACACACACACACACATTAGACACAGATTGCGGGTTAATGTTCAAATGCTATTGCTGATAAGATGTAATACCTTAGCTGAGCATAGTGGTGCATCCTCTTGATCCCAGCACTCAGGAGGCAGAGTCAGGTGAATCTGTGAGTTCGAAGCCAGCCTGGACTACATAGTGAGTTCCAGGACAGCCAGAGCTACACAGTGAGACCCTGTCTCAAAATAACAACCACCAGATGTAATACCTTGATGTGGGGGACTGTCACCTCACAACTGCTCTAATTTCAGCAAATGTTTTTACACCATGGGCCTTGGACCTCAGAGAACGAATGGGCCGCCTCTCTACTTCATTAGCACTCACATCTGCAGTACCAAGGACTGTGTTTATCCTGCAGCACAAAGGGTGCTTGTATTCGGGAGTGTGGCTGCAATAGCTCACTTGTCCTTCATCGCCTTGGTCCTTCCCTTCCTTCTGGAGATGAGGGAAAGATTAGTTGAGCTCCCTGGAGAAAAGCATTAGGTAAATACAGGATGTTGCCGAGTTATTGTTACTATTATTAACAACACTAATGGCTGGGGCGTACGTACCCCCAGGGGTTCGAGTGAACATCTAGGCCAGGGGTCTATAGAACTCCAAGTCTTGACCTCTTAACGCCATGTGAATCTAGGGGTCCCTGTGGTAAATGAGACCTAGGGGGCGTGGAGGCTGCTGGGGCTGAAAGAGGGGAGCTATCATTCTCTATGGAAGGAAGAGCCTACCTCCTTCTAGACAGAGACCAATAATGAATTGGGTCAGTGACTGGTCATAGAAAGCATTACATGTGTCAGCCTAGGGGCCAAAGTCCTGGGGATGAAGTCTTCACTGAGGTTTAGGTGTCTGGAGCCCACCTGATAAGAAAGTTAGGGTGAGGTTCTTGTTCTTTTCTCTCTCTCCACACCAATTACATTTTGTAGTAAAAAATAATCATGTGTTCCATTTAAAAGCACATTTGTGTGAGGAATTTAACAGGGCAGAAACGATTCTCCTCCACAATTTATATCCAACACATCTTCATTGAGCTTATGCCTTGGCTGGGAAGTCTTGTACCAACGAGCATGGAGGAAATGCCAGGGCACAGGTGACCTGGTGGGTAAGTTAAGATGTGCAGGTAACTATGGCACAGATGCATAGGGACTTGAGAGGTTCTGATGAAGAGGAAGCAGAGTGGGGTGGGAGTCGGACAGAGTCATGAGTCAAAGCCTGGCCTTGAAGGGTCAGCGAATCTGATCAAGGAGGGATGGAGGCATTGGCATCCCCAAAGAAGGAACCAAACCCACAAACAGGCAAATGGGACACATGCGGCACACTGTGTAGTTACTTCAGCCTGGTGAGTGAAGAATATGGGAGAAACGAAGGCTTGCTAATGTGTATCGGAAACGAGAGATGTTCCCCTCAATCTAGACCCCTGTTTCTTACTCATGAGCAGTACAAGCCTTGGAAAGTTTCTAGGTAAGTAAAAGTCAAGACAAAACTTGTCTAGGGCCTGGCAGTGAGTGACTTGGAAACAGAGACTCAGAAGGACACTTGCAAGCCTTCTGGCCTTTGTACTGACCAGACACAGATTGGTCTGTGGGAAAGTGCCCGGGGCCAGGGGCGGGCGGGCTGCTTCTCTGGGAAAGCCTGGAGTTCCCGAGAAGCTGGGCATCCTTCTCTACTGTTGGCTTGGTCTCGTTAAGTCAAATCTTCCCATGGAACCTGGGTGGTGGATGAGGCTGGTGGCTGGACTGAAGCTGCTGGAAACTCGGATGGGTTGGGCTGGGAATGGCAGAGTGTGGGATCGTTGCAATAAAATGCAGGGAAAAGAGTCCTTGCCGTGTCCCGGGGTGTGAGGCGCAGGGCGTGGGGCCCTGCATTCCCGGGTGGCTAAGACGCCGCCCGCCGTCACTGTTGATGATTATCATTATTATTCCTGCTCGGGCTTCTTGGAACTTTCATCCTGCAGGACCCTGCCTGGCTGGGCAAGCGTCATCAACTAGCAAGGGGTGGGGCGGGTGGCTCCCAGCAGCAAGGGAGCAGGACATAACTAGGGGTTTTCTGGCAGTTCTGAGATCCTTTGTAACCACAGATGCATGCGCAGAGTTTCTCCAGGGGAAACTGAGACACACTAGCGAGGAGTGAGTGGGCCGAGGTCCTTCAGCAGAGACCTCTCCTTCCCTCACCATGCCCTTCAGGAGGCCATGCTTATTCTCTCCACGCTGGGGCTGATTTTGTAGGACTGGAGGAGAGCCAGAGAAGGTGTGGATTCCAGAAGCGAGAACTGGGCTGGGGCCAGGACCTCAGAGCTGGTACCTTCTGTGCCAGGTGCTGCGGGCATCATGAGGTCAGGCTCCCGGTTTCAAGTCTCTCTGGAATCTTCTGCCATATGGGTGGATCTTCTGTAAGCCCCCAAGGGAAGGCAAGGCTGGAGACGTGCAAAATGCCCAGCTCTGTCCATCAGAGGCCAGATTCAGCATCCTGGGATAGGAAGAGCCTAGATCTCATAAAGATGGGCCAGGCCCCAGAGCAAAGGGCCAGACAAAGGCTCATAGACTGAGGAAGGCGTGCGAATCCGCGTGTGCTGTGTGAGTCCGCGTGTGGTGCGTGCACATTTTGGTAACACCAGCTTCCAGTGACGACGAGTCTCTGCTTGCTGGGATGAGATGAAGGGAGAAGGGCTGGAGGGAATGTGACTGGAAGACTGATGAGCAGGTAAGGGGTTGAGTGGAATCCTACAAAACACATGGATTCGGGCCCACTGGGCACCCACTGGAGAAGGAAGGGAGTGGTTCCACGTGCAGGCTGAGGCCCTGTCTCCTTCTCCACTCACACACGTCACCTTCAAGAGCAGCGGCCCCTGGAAACATCTTCGGGCTTAAAGGAAAACTGGGTCAACAAGTAGGCTACAGAGGCGGGAGGAGAGGAGGTGACAAGCAGCCCCCACAAAGCACTCCCAGGCCCCACAGCTCCCAGAGCCAGCGCCCGCCGTGTGTTCGCGAAGCCGGCCCTTATCAGGCGGCTTCTGTGAGCAAGGTGGGCTACTTGGCTCTGCAGTGCAACTCCGGAGATCCGTTCTCCGCCCTCAGGAGGCTCTCAGGGGAAAGACAAATCTCTCTCTTTGAAGAACTCCTCAGCCGAATCCGGAGACCTCTTCTTCCTCCCTGGCTGTGGTTATGCGAGCTCTACCTCTGCCATCAGTCTGCTAATTCTCTGGAGATTCGCACCAAAAAAATCGGTCTCCGTGAGTTCAAGGCCAGCCTGGTCTACAAAGTGAGTTCCAGGACAGCCATGGCGGCTACACAGAGAAACCCTGTCTCGGGAAACAAGGAAAAAAAAAAAAAAAAAAAAGGAGGGGTGCAAATTTCACTAGAACACCTGCTGGTGTCTTGACACTCACTCAGCCAAATCATCCAGCGTTCAGCTACAAAAGGCATCCCTTGAGATTCCTACTGTGTCAGACCACCATAAGACTCAGTGTGACCCTACCATACCAGACCACCATAAGACTCAGTGTGACCCTACCATACCAAACACATCCTTTTGCCAAGACCTCCACCCACTTGCTTCCTCCTACTGGTGATCCAGAGAACCCACAGCAGTTTCTCAAAGTTAATTAGATACAATAAGAGCTTCTAGGGGGTTTCAGAGCCCCGACACAAGTTTCATTCTTAGTGCCCAGTGGTGTCCCTTCCCATTCACAGCACACAAATATCAGTAACCTAACTGTCAACATCTGAACAACACCACAAACTTTTCAAGGGAATCCTTTCCATGTTTATAGCCAATTCATTTGACAAGCATGTACATTATAGAGGCTATGGACCAGGTCCTGTGATACTCACAAAGTAGTTCTTTTGATGTTGGGGGAAGGTAGGCCTCCTGCCGCAGAGTCAGGGGCATGCTTGACCAGGGAGGACAGACACTAAGGGAGACAGATGCAGTGAGGGGTCAGACAGAGCAAGTTCACGGCTGCGCTGCCCACTGTGGTCTCATAGAGCTTTCCTTCCTCGGTGCTTCACATCACAAAGTGATGCCTTGCTGGGAGGAAGGAGAACATTCTAATGAGATGCTCACATGGCATGATCCTGAAGGCACCGCATTGTTCTCCAGTGGAAAATGTTTCTCCATTCCCGAATTCAGCATCCTCTGGAAGTGATACAGGAAAGGAGCAGAAATTAGAGTCTAAAATTTCTGTGTTAAAAAAAAAAAAAAAAGCCCTTACTGGGCAGTGGTGGCACACACCTTTAATCCCAGCATGTGGGAGGTAGAGGCAGATAGAGGCCAGCCTGGTCAACAGAGCTAGTTCCAGGACAGCCAGGACTACACAGAGAAACACTGTCTCGAAAAACCAAACAAACAAATAAACAAAAAACCAAGCCCTTTGGAGGCTGGGCTTGGATTGTACAATACTTGCCAAACAAGCATGAGGACCTGAATTCTATCTCCAGCATCCACTGGAGACCCACATTGTCATCCAGGCACAGCCCGGAGACTGTCTGGGGTTTACTGGTCAGCCAGGCTTGCCAAGTCAGTGAGTGCTAGGTCCAGGGAGAGATCCTGTTTCAAAAACCAAGATGGCAAGTGACCGAGGAAGACCCATGAACATGCTCACCTCGCCCACACACCCTTTAAGCAATGGAAGTGATGAAGGGCTGCAAACGGCCCTTACCATTTCGCCCAGTTAGGAAATAACAGCTCCCATGCCCTGACCCAGAGGGCAGCCATCTTGTGGGGAAAGAAATCCACTCTCCTTGGCTCTAACTACAGTGGTAGGCGGTTCCCCTGTGTGTGGTGTGAGACTTGTCCATGAAGGAAGACTCTAACTCCAACTGTGGTTGTTAGATGTGGGGTGGGTATTTAACCAGTGTAATCAGAAGAAAAGTCTTCCAACTGTCTCAGGAAGGCAAGATGCTACAAATGACCCCTTCTTGCTTATCTGCCCCAGACAACATGGGCAAGTTAGGAAATGTTCTCTACTCTAAATGCACAATTCCTATAAACCAACGTAAGCAAGAAGCCTTTGAACCTGTTCAGCCTCATGTCCCTAAGCATCAGCATCCCATATGGAGAATTTTGAGAGGGTGTGATAAAAGGAAGCAGATGGGAGCCGGAACATGCTGTTGGTCTCTTGATGATCTTCTAGGGTCCTCTCATACTCGGGCCTCTCCCCGCAACTTTGTGGCTCTGTCTCCAAAGCACCTTGGCCCAGGGTCAAGAAACTGGGATAGCTCTTGAGAACGCTAAGGGAGAAGCTGCTGCGCCCAGGAAAGCAGTCCTTGTTCAGGTTTCCCTGGCAGCAGCAGTGGAAGTGTTTGAGGCTGTACAGCGAGACTGGCACGAGAAATAACACGGTCAAAATGCTGTCCCAAGTGTGGGGTTTCCCAAATCAAAGGGCAGGTCACTACAGGGATAAGAGTCCTGCTGGGCAGTGGTGGCACACGCCTTTAATCCCAGCACTGGGGAGGCAGAGGCAGGCGGATCTCTGTGAGTTCGAGGCCAGACTGGTCTACAGAGTGAGTTCCAGGCTACACCAAGAAACCCTGTCTCTAAAAAAAAAAAAAAAAAATGCCCCTCAACAAAAGGGTGGTGATGGTAAGAGTCTCTTCCTTCCCTCCTCCCTTCTTTCCTCCCATTCTTCCTTTCACTTGTTTCCTTCTTCCTTCCTCTCTTCTTCTCTCCTTTCCTCATTCTTCCCCGGCCCTCTTTGCCTTCCTCTATCCCTACCTTCTTTCCCTCCCTCCTTCTCTCCAATTCTCTCTCTTCCTTCTTCCCTTTTTTCCTTCCTCCCTCCCCTTCTTCCTCTTTCCTCTTCCCCACCCCGATCCCTTTCCTTTCCGCTTCCCTGTGGAACCTAGCAGTGAGTCCCTACATCAGGCTGCCGCCTCTCCAGTTTACCGTCAGTCACACCCTCTTCCCATCTGCCTTTCATTCTACAGCTCCTCAGCTCAACGTTGTGTCCTTTATAGCACCTTCCCCATCTTGTCAAGCCCCGGTTGAACTCTCCTTTCTCTGAATTCTAATTCCATTGCATAAGGTGTGCTACGGGATACATCTGACTATACCACACCTGATACTGTCTAGCTGCATAACCCACCTGAGTCCTGGTTCGCTGGGCAGGGTGTAAATGTGGAGAGAGCAAGCCCATTTTAGAGTCTTTTAGAGCCCCGAGCACAGGGATGAATTGTTGCAGGACTTGATGGAGCCTTTCCCCCCCCCCCCTTTTGCTTCTCATTAAACCTGGGAGAGTGTGCACTGAAAGGTGGCCACTGGAGTCATCACGGTCCGCAGCTTGTTTGGGTGGAGAACCATATTGTACAACAGCAATTAAATTCCTGGTAGACAGAATCCCTGCCTTTAGATGCATCATGGAGAGCCCTGGGAGCAGTCTGGAGGTTGCAGGACATCTTTCACAATACCTTGAAATGGAGTTCAATTACCTATGGGGAAACCTGCGGTCCCCGTGGTTCCAAATAGCAGTGTGCACCTTAGGAAGAACCCGGGAATCCAAAGAATGTGGGAAAGCCTTCTGCAGGATTGCCACCTGTCCACACGGGAGAACTCACCTGAGAGGAAAGAGCAGTGTAAATGCGGCAGATGTGATAGGAAGGAGGAGGGCAGACCTGGCCCTCTCTTATGAAGCTCCTCTCCAGACTCATGTCTCAGGCAAAGAGAGTGAGACTTGAAGAGGAAGCTGTATGTGCAGTGGGAACTATCAGATTATTATAATCTCCCCCACCACCTCGTCATCATCCTCTCACTCCTCCTTCTCCTTAGAGACAGGCTGTCATGAGTTCTGATCCTCCTGCATCCATTTCCTCAGTGCTAGGCTTACAGGTGTGCACCACCACACTCAGTTCATACGCTGCTGCTGATCAAACACACGGCTCTGTTTGCGAGACGAGCACTCTACCATCCGGGTGAGCTACATTCCAGCCCAGCGCCTTTCCCTCTTAACACGGTCTCATTTCCTCTATCCTCATCTCTTGTTAGGAAAGAAAGTGGTCGTTCGCCCAAGTCGCACGACTGGTGGGAAAATGGAGTCAGAGTACCACGTCACTGGTCCGGGGCATGCTGGTAGTCAAGAAAGAGCTCTAGCCCTTAGCAGCCTTCATTTATGGCTGCTAAAGGATACCAAAGATGAAAGAGGAAACCCTATTCTTCTCAAATAGCTTACACTCCAGGGAGGGACCAGAGAGGTCCTTAAAATTCAGGTACTGTTTTTACCCGAGTGAATACAAAATGTCTTGGACCACAGAGGAAGTGGCCCAAAGCCCTCTGAGGAAGTGTGGAAGGCTTCCCAGAAGAGGCTGCACTTGAGCTGAAATGTAAAGGACAAGGTCTCTGCCAGGTAGACAAGGACGGGGTGTTCAGGTGGAAGACATGATACGGAGAAAGCGTAGATGAAGGATCACGGCCTGTGACAGATGCTGGAGACGGTCAACCTGTACAACATGGGGAAGTCAAGGAACAGTGAAGCTGACCCCACGTTTGGACAAGTCCCGGATTATCTCGCAAAACAGTTCAGGGTTCTGTGGAGAGCTGGATGTATTTCCTGTGGCTGCTCTAGCAAATCACCACAGACTGGGAAGCATAACTCAGCACAAATGTGTTGCCTTCCGATCTGGAGGCCAGAAGGCTCACTGGCTGCAGCAGACAGCATTGTATCAGAAATGGGAAGACGTGGGTCCTCGCTTGCCTACTTCTGCTTTTCAGGGCAGCCCACATTCCTCAGCTCACATCCCTTTCCATCTCCATAGCCAGCATCGCGTGGTTTCAATCCTGCTTCCCTAACTGAATCTCAGACTCCCACACATCTGTCTCAGCCTAGGGACTCTTGTGATGGCACCGGGACCCCTAGAACCCAGCACAATCTCCACACTCCTTAACCGAACCACCTTGTAAAGTCCCTCTTGTGATGTAAGGTAACACATTCACAGGTTCAGAAAAGTGGATGTGGGTCTTTTGGGGGGAAAAATATCTGAAGAAATCTGAGCTTGGGGTGCTAGGTAGTACAGCACTGTGGCTAAAACAGCTGGTGTGGGGACTGGAGAGATGGCTCAGTGGTCTGCTCTTGCAGAGGACCAGGCAGGGTTCAATTCTGAGCACCCATATGGTAAGTCACAACCAGCTATAATTCCATGTCCAGAGGATCTGACAGCCTCTTCCAGGCACTAGGCATGCATATGGTGCATATATATACATGTAGGCACTCACGTATCCACACTGAAAAACTATCTTCTGGAAAGAAAATCACAGTTATGGGCTCTGACGGTCCCAGTTCGCTCTCGCCTCTGCTCTGTGAGAACAATGTCACCTACGTCATTTCCTGCTCGTGGTCTCTGTACCTAAGTTTTCTTGTCTGTAAAAGAGGGACACCTACCTCCTCCTTAGTTATTCAGATTATATGGGGTCACAGTGATGAAACTTAGGTCAGGATGAGCCATTCAGTAAACTGGAATGTGGCGGGGTGGGGGAGGGGGGCGGCGGGGTGGGGGGTGGGGGGTAGGGGGTGGGGATGACGACGTTCAACGCAGGGTTTCTCTGTGTAGCCCTGGCTGTCCTGGAGCTCACCCTGTAGACCAGGCCGGTCTGGAATTCACAGACCTACCTGCCTCTGCCTCCAGAGTGCTGGGATTAAAGGGGTGAGCCACCACCACCCAACCAACTATCTTGGTAGCTAAGAACAACCTAAGTGCTAAGAACAGAACCTAGCCCATGATGAGGCTCATCAGCACAGGAAGGAAGGAGTCAGCCCTAAGCACCCGGGGTTCTCTGACATGAAGAAAACGTGATACTCCGACTCTCAGGATAATGCACCCCCACTGCCTCTGTTGACATACAGAAACGAAAGACTGGAAGCTGCCTGCATCTGTCCCCCGTTTCTCCTGAGATTTGTTCTGGGTGCTAAAGAGTAGATGATGTTTATTTATTTATTCTGGATTTTAGAGAGAAGATCTCACTTTGTATCCAAGGCTTGCCTGGAAATGTAGCCCAGGCTCGCCTCAAGCTCAGGGTGATCCTCCTGCTTCAGCTGGGATTACCAACATGAGCTGCCACTACCATCTATGATACTTCTTTAATTATTTACCATTTATTTATTTATCCCCCCCCCCCCCCCCCGCTGAGGACCGAACCCAGGGCCTTGAGCTTGCTAGGCAAGCGCTCTACCACTGAGCTCCCCCCCCGCCCCAGATTTCTGTAACACTGTTTAACTCAACCTTCAGCCATCTGAAGACATGGTAATGTCTCAGCCAGGTACCCAGTGTGATGACATGCACCTGACTGATTTGGGAGTGACCTGCTCTGGGTTCTTAGACGCCATTACACACATTTAACCATCTCCTTTGTCCTCCTTTTCTACTAAGGCGCCAACAAGCTCCTTGTTCTCTTTCTCTTATTGATTTCTTCTCTAAGCACCTCCACAGGTACAGATCTAGCGGTTTGCCTATCAGCAGGGTTGCCCAAATAAAACGGAAGTCAGCCAGTGGCATTTGGATTTCAGATAAACAGTGAATAATTTTAATGTAAGTACATTCTAAATATTGCTATCTGTCCAAAACAGTGCTTTATTAACCAGCTATTTGATTAGCCAGAACATTCCATTCCCTAGCATCACAAAGTAACATTTCACTTTGTCCTCTGGTGCAATTTACAAGGTAAATTGGTATTCAATTCCAGAAAGTTCCAGCGTCTTCTTTACAAATTTTTTATGTGGTAAGCAGAGGGGAGAAGGCAGGCAATGGTTCTAGGAAAGATGGTGGTCAGAAGAGTGGGCACCGCTGTCTCACCACACAGATCCTCTGCTGCCCAGCTCTGGGGTTCACAAGCACAGACAAGCCCCTCCACTAATGGGGGGGCGGGTGCAGCCTTGTTCCTTGGGATCTAAAGAGCCCTCAGGATACTCATTCTGTTGGAGTATATTGAGATTGGTACCCTGCTGTCTTTTGAAAACGGGTGCTAGATGGACATGGTGGCCCATATGGGTAACCCCACAATTGGGAGGCTGAGGCAGAAGGATTCCATGTTAGAAGCCAACCTGAACTGCATGCACAGAAAGACCATCTTTCAAAACTGAATCAATGAATCCAACTGCATACTGTACAAAGCATGTTCTACATTGCAGTCTAGGATCATGTCAGCTCTCACCACCTGGGAGTATGCATTAGACTGGTGAGGATGAGCTGTTGTAACCAGCTATGGTTTGTATCTACAAGGCTGGTCTTTCCATTGACAAGAATGTTTGCTCAAAGCTTTTTCTCCAAAGATCCATTACAGGTGCCTCATCTAGCATCCTCCTCCCCTGCTGACCCATCACCCCCAATTCCTCATTCTAAATTTCCTTCCATGGTCTGTGGATTAGTTGCCTGAACCAACCCCCCTCCTCAGTCCCCCCCCAACCCCCCCCCCCCCCCGCCACGGCAGAGTCTCTCTGTGTAGCCCTACCTGCCCTGGAACTCACTATGCAAAGCAGTTTAGTTTTGAACTCTTAGGGATTCACCTGCCTCTGCTCCCAAGTGCTAGGATTAAAGGGGGTGCACCACCATGCCTGGCTAGGTTATCATGACTGACCATCAAGGCTTGGCACTGTGCCGGCCAGATCTCTCCCTCCCTGCAGCCCACAACCCTGGCTCCTAGAAGCACTTCTCAGCTCCCCACTCCAAATATGTCTTGGTCTCCTTCCACTGACCTCCCTAGTGCTCTCAGCCAGACATCAGTTTTCACATCAGAGTTGTCCAGGATCTTGTGGTATTGGTACCTACATGTCCGCACTCTTTTAAGTATCCTTTCAGAGACTAAACAAGGCAAAATACTTTAACAGCTTATGAAATCTTTTTTTTAATTTACTTTTATTTTGTGAGTATGTTGGAGTGTCTGCATGTATGTGTATACGCCACATGAGTGCCTTATATCTGTGGAGGCCAGAAGAGGGTATCAGAAACCATGGAACTGGAATTAGCCAGTGGCTGTGAACTGCGGTGGGGAGTGGGAACCAAATCCTGGTTCTCTGAAAAATCAGCAAGTGCTCTGAGCAGCTGAGCCAGCCCCTACCCCAGTTCAGCCAAAATCTCTCTCACACACACCCAGACCCCCATGAAATCTTAAAAAAATCCGGGGCTTTTATTCCTGAGAAATGAGCAAAGCCACCTAACCAAAGACAGTAGGCCTTGAGAGCTGGTAAGGGATTCCAGCTGCATCCTCAGGTACGAAAGGACAATAGGTATCCTCAAACCCTTATTTACTTTCTAGGAAATGGGGCCCCGAGGGGCTGGGGGAATTAAAGACTTACTGGTACAACCTCTAAGAAAAACTCGCTCCAGATAAGGTCTCCGGGTCCTTAATTGTTATTGTTATTGTTATTAACCCAACTCCTATGAAAAGCTGCCACAGCGCCGTTAACAACCGCAGGTCTGGGTTTAATTAATACCTCTGAAGGCTGAGTCCTCAGGCAACGTGTTGTCCGCCCCCACAACTCCACAAACAGGCTCCTCCCCCTCCTCCGACTCGGCTCACAAGGTCCTCTTCTTCGGCAGATCCTCCAGGGGTTCCTTTATTCTCACCTCTGCCAATCACTGCTCTCCCAGCCCGTTCGTTCCCAGGCTGGGTAATCTCACAGATCTCCTTTGACCTTCTTCTCCCTTTTTCCAGCTACCAAGTTACCCCGTAGAGTCTTCGAGAATCAGGCCTCGAGGGCTATGAAATCTGAGGTGCCCAGAATTCCCTAGCAGCCCCCAATTCCGGCCCTGCTTCCCGGGTCTCCTCTTGAGGACTTCCGGACACTTCTCAGGTGGTACAGCCGGTTGGGTGGGTTGGCTGGTTTAGGGTTACGGAGTTTGGCACTGACTCCAGCCCCTCTTGGCTGCTCTCTTAAATTAATTAATTCCAATTAAAAAAAAAATCTCGATTGGACCTCAGTGCATGCCTCTGGGGCACATGTCACATCAATTACAAACAAATTAACCCTACTACCTAACAGAATGAACCTCTTTGAAGATTCACATACAACTGCAGCCTAAGGGTCTTAGAGCGCTCTGCTACGGACAGATTCTGAGGCCAAACCCTAAGAGGAACTGGGGCCCAGTACCCAAGGCCAGGGTTCTTCTCTGCCTTTCCTTAGTGAGCTAGGGAGCTAAGGTTTGTAGGTGGTGGCCTCATTTCTCTAGAGCAGCGTTCTCAACCCGTGGATTTCGAATGACCCTTTCACAGGGGTCACCTACGACCATCAGAAAACACAGATATTTACATTACGATTCATAACAGTAGCAAAATTACAGTTATGAAGTTTTATGGTTGGGGTCACAACATGAGGAACTGTATTAAAGGGTCACAGCATTAGGAAGGTTGAGAACCATTGATCTTAGGGCAAGTCCAAAGTCTCTCAAATTTAAAAGTCCACCTCTCCATTATGGGAACTGGCCATTAGGCAAAGGTAAGGATGTATCTTGTTTGTTTGTTTTATTTTTACTTTGTTTTCGGGACAGGGGTTCTTTGTGTAGTCGTGGCTGTCTTGGAACTCACTCTGCAGACTAGGCCGGCCTCGAGCTCACAGAGATCTGCCTGCCTCTGCCTCTCGAGTGCTGGGGTTAAAGGCATGCGCCACCACCGCCCGGCAAGGTAAGGATATGTCTTTACTGTGTGTTCCAACACTAAAATGGATATTGAATTGGTTTATCCTTTTGCATCACTAAAGACCCAGCATGGAGGGCACCGTTGAAGATGCCACTGACTGGGAGGAGAGAGGGAGACAGAGATCCACCATCTTTTCTTCCTTTCTTCCTACTTCTTTCCTTTTTATCTATTTGTTGTTGTTTTAATCTTTATTGTTTTTGGAGAAAGAGGTCTCACTGGGTAGACCCGGCTGGCCTCAAACCTCAAACTCATAAGAGCTCTGCCTGCCTCTGCCTCCCCAGTGCTAGAACTATTAAAGGTGTGGACCACCATGCCTGGCCCTATTTATTTTATATGTTTGGGTATTTTGCCTGCATGTATGTCTATACATCATGTGCATGCCTGGTGCCCATGGAAGTCAGAACTAGAGTTACAAATGATTATGAGCTGCCTGGGTCCTGGGAATCGAACCCAGATTCTCTATAAGAGACCAGTACTCCTCACTGTTGAGCCATCTCTCTACCGCCTACAAATATTTTTCCCTCTGTGAAAAATAAGTAGGCAGATTGAGATTAGCCCTAAACCTTAGTTTACTAATACTGTCCTTTTAGCCTGGAGTTAAAAGAATACTAGCAGACCAGATCAACAGGCTTCTCCTTATCTGCTTAACTCGTTTATTTATTGGCATGGGTCGACTGTAAATCAGCTTGCTCTTTTATGTTCGTCGGCATCCTGGCTGTCCACTTGAGTCCAAACTTTCAGAGGGCAGAGACCAGTTCTGTTAAATTTGCTTTGTATGGTATCCAGCAAAGAGCTACAGAATGGGGTCAGAGATGTCCTGGACTTGGACCCTGGACACCCAGGTTTTAGCTCTGCCCATCTGACTCTTAAAATTAGGACCTTATTTTTATTGGCTGTTACAAAACTCAATCTGGGCTGGGGGGAGTCTAGAGAGATGGCTCAGCAGTTAAGAGAACTGACTGCTCTTCCAGAGGACCCAGGTTCAATTCCCAGCACCCACATGGCAGCTAACAACTGTCTGTAACTCCAAGATCTGATACCCTCATATAGACATAAATGCAGGCAAAACACCAATGCAAATAAAATAGAAATAAATAAATAATTTAAAGAAAAAAGACTGGGGCCAGGTGTGGTAGTGCATGTTTTTAATCCCAGTATTCCAGAGGTGGAGGCAGTTGGATCTCTGTGAGTTTGAGGCTAGCCTGGTCTACACTGGGAGTCTCAGGCCAACCAGGACTACATAGTGAGACCTTGTTTCCATTAAAGGCGGTGGGGGGAGGCCTCGGGGTCAGACATGGTGATGAATGTCTATAACTGCAGTACTTGGGGGGTGGAGGTAAAAGGATCAGGACTTTAGGTCACTGTTAGCAACCTAGAGTTTCTGAGGCCAGTGTGAGTTACATAAGAAGCTGTCCCAAAAAAGTGGGGTGCGTTTCTGTTGGCTTCTACCCACTCTCTTAATGAAAAAAACAATTAGTGAAGAGTTATTCAAGACCAAGAAACCAGAATGGATGTGTGCTGAAGTCTCCTGTAGTGAGGGACAAGCTTCAGTGTGGCCATTGGATGGGGGATCCTGCTACTTGTTCTTTTCTTTTCTTGTGATTTGCAGGATTAGCAGCATTGGGAGGCAACCCCCTGCCTGTGGTGAGTGAAGGGGAAAGAGTAAAAAGAGAACAGAGGAACAGGGTTCTCTAGCTGGACCTTCTTAGCTAGACCTGAATCCCAAACAAGCACTTGCAAAACATGGCTCTGTAAAAGTTTCTAGAGTCCCAGGGCTCAAGAGAGAGAAAGAAGGAAAAAAATATTACAGAAGATACACAGACAGAGCTAAAGTTAGGATTCCTTTCTACCATGCACCAAAGGTACTAGTTTTCACTTATTAAGAATATGTGAGGGGCTGGAGAGATGGCTTAGCAGATAAGAGCACTGGCTCTTCTTCCAGAGGTCCTGGTTCAATTCCCAGCACCCACGTGGCTCACAACTGTCTGGAACGTTAGTTCCAGGGGATCTGGCATCTCACACAGACAGACATGCAGGCAAAACACCAATGCATATAAAAATAATTTTTTTTTTTTTTTTTCCGAGAAAGGGAGTTCTGGCTGTTCTGGAACTTACTCTGCCTCTGCTTCCCAAGGGCTGGGATTACAGGTGTGTACCACCACCACCTGGCCAATAAATCTTTTTCTTTTTCTTTCTTTCTTTTTTTTTTAAGACTTTGTGACAGTTTTTTTTTATTATGTATCTATTTATTATGCATTAGTATTCCATCTGCATATATGCCTGCATGCCAGATGAGGGCACCAGATCTCATTACAGATGGTTGTGAGCCACTATGTGGTTGCTGGGAATCGAACTCAGGACCTCTGAAAGAGCAGCCAGTGCTCTTAACCTCTGAGCCATCTCTCCAGCCCTTGACAGTCTTTTAGAGTAGGGTTATCAAATCCTCCAGGAGACTATCACCGTGGGAACTAGGGAACCTGGGTCTTAGTTTGACTCTGTTGTCTACTGGGTTGGGTGACTGGCTAAGCCATCAAAACATTCCTTGGGTTAAATTTCTCTCATTGGGAAGAATACCTGTTCTGTCTGCCCTTGCAGCTGTTGGAAGATCTGAGGAGACAATGGATGTAACGTCCCCACAGGAACCATAGAATGAGGCAGGTGAAATGGCTCACTGGGTGAAACTTCTTGTCCCCAAGTCTGAGGACCTGATTTCAATGCACAGCCCGTATGGTAGAGAGGACTGACTCCCGCAAGCTGTCCTCTGACCTCTATACACAGGAGGTGGTCGACCACACACATATACAACCACAAATAACACAGATGTAACCATCAAAAAAGAGAAACCACAGAGCCCAGGTGAAGTGAAAAGCTGAATGAATACTGTGATTACGAGGGTCAATCCAAAGAACTGGCCTCCGGACGGAGAGGCAGAACACTTGGAAGGTCACCTCATTCTTTGGCCATCACTCCACACACCCCTCATCCAAACAAGACAGCCTGACCAGCAGAGAGGGTGGAGGAATGGGGTCAAGTGTCCAAGAAGACATCCTGAGTTCAGCAGACCTCAAGTTCATTCTTTTTTTTTTTTTTTTTTTTTTTTTTGGTTTTTCGAGACAGGGTTTCTCTTGTGTAGCTTTGCGCCTTTCCTGGAACTCACTTGGTAGCCCAGGCTGGCCTCGAACTCACAGAGATCCGCCTGGCTCTGCCTCCCGAGTGCTGGGATTAAAGGCGTGCGCCACCACCGCCCGGCTCAAGTTCATTCTTACACTGAATTCAATTTTATTACGTGTGCTTACTTTCTCCCATTCTGCTTGAAGATATCCTCTCCACCTGTTGAAACATGATATAGATTTTAGTGTTTATCCACTGAAAGCACTCACTATTGAAGAATGTGGCCCAAAGTTCCAAAACTCTGATCCCTGGAGCCTGGAGTCTAAGTATAATAAAATCCAAACATCTGTTTCTGGAAGGGGCCAAAGACAGAGTCAGCTCTTGGACCCTGTATTTATAAAGTTTCAATCTCTTTCTTAACTTTGTCCCAGACTCAAGTCATTTTCTTCCCTGGGGGACTGGGTGAGTGGGGGTTATGGCTGATGTACTGGGAGAAAAAGTTAGCTCCATCTATATGGGAATGGTTTTCATGTCGTGGGGGTCAGCTTTAGTGAAAGAACATTAATACTGTCTGTGCTGAATGACAGAAGGCGGCTTGAGAGAAGGATCAGAAGTTCAGAGCACTTGTTACTCTTGCAGAGGACCCGGATTCAATTCCTAGCATCTACATGGTGTCCTACGACCATCCATAACCCCAGTTCCAGGGGATCTGACAAAGTCACAGGTGCACAGACATGCATGCAGGTAAAACACACATACACACAAAGCAAAAGAAGTAAATAATGGAAGGAGTTCCAACTAAGGAGCGGAGAACTTCAGGAAGTTTTGTTTCTGGTGGGAAAGGGTTATCCTGACCTAGGGGACGTAACCTTGGGTCTTCCCTTCACCTTGCCACGCCATTTCCTTTCCTTGTACTCTAAGCACTTCCAATTGCAGACACCCTCTTGGCTCTGAGCTTGGATAAATGCTACCTTGTTAGCTAATAGTACCATTAATTATATTAATGATTAATAGCTAATTAGTCATAATGTGGTCATACTTCTTACAGTGGAGTCGTCCTTTCTTGCAGCAGTTCTGGGACTCCAGCACACACACACACACACACACACACACACACACACACACACACACACACACACTTCCCTATTCCTAACCACAGGACAAGCGCAGCAATCCACTTTTTTTTTTGCTGACCATCACAGCAGTTTCTAAATTTCTCTAGTTGTTATTGGCTATCCCATTTTTCTGGAGAATGACTACTGCTTATAGGTCCGTCGCTGCTTTTATTTATGCCGGGTCACTCACTCTACTAACAAGGTGGTCAGCACTTTTTTAAAAGTTTTTTGTTTTTTTTTTTAACATATTCCCTAAGTCAAAGACATTTACTCCCAGACCTCACGCTGACCCACTTTCCCACCTTCTTCTCCCCCTTTTCACTTTTATCTTTCCCTATTTCGTGGGATGCCAAACCCCCGGCCCACAGATCCCTCACCTTCCAGCACTCAGGCTTCCTTTTGGCAACCACGCCCACCCCCTACCCCCTTACCCTCCCACCCCCTTACCCCCCTTCCTTCCCGCCCCCCCCTCGGAAGCGACGCGCATGCGCTGCCCACGCCTTACCTGGGCGCTCGGCAGTGGGCGGAGTGGGCGAGGGCCGGGGGTGGAGCAGGCAGCCGGCAGTTATCTGCGCGGCTGAGCGCTCACATTGTGGCAGGAGGGAGAAAAGGTGCGCCCGGGCCCAGCCAAGGGCCGCGCATGCGCGCCGACCCCACAGCCGGGGATGGGTGTGTGTGTGTGTGTGTGTGTGTATGGGGGGGGAGGAGGTGTCG